CCCAAACCCCAAACCCCAAACCCTAAACCCCAAACCCTAAACCCTAAACCCTAAACCCTAGCCCCAGCCGCAAACCCTAGACGGCGGCTCTGCGGGTGCTTTTCGAGCGCGGGCGCGCCCGCGGCGCGTGCCCCAGGCGCGGCGCGCAGCGCGCAGGGCCGAGGGTTTCGCGCTAGGGTTTAGGGTTTAGGGTTTGGGGTTTGGGGTTTGACCTTGAGGAGGAGCTTGTAAACCCTCGGGGTGGCGGGCATGCCCTCCGCGCGCATCTGGTCGAAGACGCGGAAGGCCAAGTGGCAGTGGGGCTTTGCTGCAGCGCATGCAGCAAGAAGTTCAGTGTAAGTGAGGTCTGTGGGGTGGACTTTGGATTGCTGCATGTCGAGCAGCAAATGGAAAGCTTTTGCTGCTTCTTTTCTCCTCGCATGCATTTTAATCATCACGGTGAACATGACAGCATCTGGCAGCACTTTTTTCCAAGTCCGGAGGTCCCAGAAGAGCTGCTGCGCTGCAGCGTGCTGCTGCTGCAGCACGAGGCAGTGCAGCAGCGAGGTGTAGACTGCAACATCTGCTGCCAAACCCTCGCTCTCCATCTTCCGGATCAGTGCTGCTGCTGCTGCTGCTTCTCCTGCTGCTGCATGCGCATGCACCAAAGCCCCGTACACCCGCGCCGTCGGCTGCAGCAGCAGCGCCCGCAGCTTCAGGAACAGCACCCGCGCTGCTGCTGCGTCCCGCGCTGCTGCTGCTGCCAGCAGCAAAGACACGAACCACTCGCTCTCCGGCTGCAGCCCTGCTGCTGCTGCTGCTTCGTACACCTCCACTGCAGCAGCAAGTCCTTGCTGCTGCCCCTTCGCCCGAATCAGCGCAGCCACGTTCTCGCTGCTGCACCGCCCCTGCTGCAGCAGCTCCTCCAGCGACACTGCAGCAGCAGCAGCAAGTTCTTGCTGCCGCCGCTGCCGCTCTATCCCCGGGTAGTAGTTCACGCTCTCCCGCACTGCAGCAGCCAACGGATCCTCTGCTGCTGCCCCTGCTGCTGCTGCTGCTGCTGCGGAGTGCTGCAGCGCCTGCTGCTTCAGCTCACGCACCAAACGAGCCCCGTGGTCCAGCAGGTCCTCCCTGCAGCTGCTGCTGCTGCTGCTGCTGCTGGCTTTCGGGTCACTAATCCGG